GTCGTTAGAATCATAAATTTGGAGAACGAAGAATTGAGAGAATAGATATTTAACCGGGCGACGAATGGCACACTGCAAACTTGCATAGAATTTGGAGTGAAACCATTCCGTTCAGAAATGTTTCATCTGGTTTTCTCATATCCTATCATGGAGTTTGATTTCATTACTCGAAATGGTTTTTTATTTTCATTGATTGATTATATTGTTCAGTTGATATGATTTATTTTGCAAAATGGCACGAAAATGGTGTGTTTCATTTCTGAAACTCTTCACAAGAACATTTTTACGGCATGTGACCCATAGAGAATTGTAACCACTTGAGACTAATTCACCAATCAAAACAGGGTGATTTCCAGAGTTCTATATACAGGCTCCAATTTGTATTTGTAAATGAATATGGCAATGTTTGCCATGTTAAAGGGTCTTTGATCATATCTCAATCATCTGGATGATCACACAGATGATTTCTTTTTCATAATCCTGAAAGGTGATAGGATTTCTAGAAACAAATTCGATTTTTCAGCAATCAGGTTGATAATTTAGAACTGGTATATTTTTTTGATGTTAACTCTGTGGAAGAGAATCGGGGATTGATATTCAATTCTCCTATATCCCCCCATAGATCAGCATATTTTTCTCGTTCTGAGAAAACTTCATACAAGGTCATTCAAACATTTTTAAAAATCATTTCTTAGAATATCTCGATTTTCAATTGTATCTTATCAGTTCCTCTTTCGATTAATGAGATATCATTCGACTCTCAATTTTTTTTGATTTCGTATCTATTTGATAGCATCGAAAAAAATCCATTCTTCACGAAAAATGTCCTGAATTTTGAAATTTCATGCTTTGAAAGTGTCAATAACGCAGGGAATTCGTATTTGGTTCTCGCATGCCCTCTCTTATATTTTCAGTCTCAATTCCATTCGACTCCAGATATGCTTAGCATGATTCATAAACAAGATGTATCAGGTTTAACTCGTCTAACTTTGACAATCAATAGCAAAAATTGGAATATTGGATACGTATTTTCTTGTTTTGTCGTGGAGAAATGTTTGCATTATACGAGGTGTTAAAGTTCGCATACATTTTTTGTTATTATTCATCATCTCAGTTGAAATAAAACCTAGCGATTTGAAATTAGGTGATCACTTTTCTATCGGCAATATAAAACAGTCCTCATCAATAGAGGGGATACAGCTACACTGGGTGTTATTCTTTTTCGATCCCTTCTGACATGGAACCCATCTGATTTTTTTATTGTGACGTTGTGATGGATTGTACCTAATGAAAACTCATCATCATTTCTCCAACTCACTTTGTGTTTTTCAGTTGTCTCAATACTTTTCTCAGTTCCCGAGTTATTGAGCAAATCATATCAGGAGCATCCTCGGCCGCATCATACTCGATTAGAGTCATATAGAACAATGTTATCATGGAGTGCTTTGGACATTGTTGAATATAAAAAATGATCAATAAAAAATGTATGGGTAACTGGGTATGAAATTCTGAAATGAATTGTTCGTGGTCCTCACGGTGTTGAGATTTTTCACTTATAATATCACGAGAGCTTCAATTATTTCCGGAAATTTTTTCGAGAACACGAATATCTTGAAAATCCTCCCGAGCCGAAGACGAGGGAGAATTTTCTGAATATTCGTGTTCGAAAACATTCCCGGATATTAATTGAAGCTAAAGTGGTATTCGGCAGGAAAATTTCACACCAAACATTTACGATCAATTTAAAGGAATTTCAACAACACTCAGATGATTTAGTTGGAAATGATGGATTTCTAATGAAATGTAAGAACTAACGTAATGTAACAACATGTGTCATTGTGAATTTCGAATTTGCAAGTGTACCTACATAATTTATTTATTTATTTATTTATTTATTTATTTATTCATCCAAACAGGCCTATGGGCCTAATTACATGGATTACATAAATATAAAATAATTACCCATCTGAAGTGGCGATTAAATCTAACAATAATCAATTCAAGTAAGTACAAGATAATATACCTAATCATTACAAATAAGGTTACATAACAGAAAAGTGGAAAACAAAGGAAAAAAAGAGAGAGAAGAGAAATGTAGGGATTCTTTCCCAAAATCAAACTGATAAATCGAGAATGACATTTAATATTTCTCTGCGAAATGTAGTTTCAGGGAGCGACCACTCAAATGAAATTAGAGTGTTATAATGGTTAGCCAGTCGAAGCATGATTAAAAGAGGGGATTTAGATAACTTCCTAAGAGGTACATTGAGCAAGCGTGAGGATCGAGTACGGCGAGGAGGTACATTAAATGGTAGCAAAGCAAGAATGTCGGGGCAATCAATCTTATTATTCATAATTTTATATAAGAATATCACACATATTAAGCTACGTCTCTGATCCAAAGATAGTATTTTAAAATGTGATCTGATCTCAGTTGTTCTAACTGTCAGGTAGTCAGGCCAGACGTGGTACTCCTTGTAATATAAATATCTGAGTAATTTATTTTCTACTTTTTCTATTTCTTTCATTGCAGTTGTACCTTCCCCCATCCAAATTATCGATGCAAATTCAATCTTCGGTCTTACTAAAGTATAATACAATATTTTAACAGTATGGATATTTTTAAATTCATAAGTTTGCCTTATAATATATCCTAGAACACGGTTTGCAGACTTGCGAACATGTTTCAAATTATCGGAAAAAGAAAAAATGCTATTATAGTTTACACCGAGATCCCGCATATCCTTTTTTTTTTCTAAAGTTTCTCCATTCATTTCATATTCAAGAACTACTGGATCTTTAGTTCTAGTTATCGTTATAATACCACATTTATTCAAGTTGAAATATAACCTATTTTTATTGCTCCATTCAAATATGCTATCTAGGTCTTTTTGCAACTCAACACAGTCCCTTACCGTTTGTACTTTTTTGAAAACTTTCAGATCATCTGCAAAAAGTAAGCAATCAGAGTTCACAAGGACACTTGGCAAGTCGTTGATAAATATTGTAAACAATAATGGTCCCAAATTGGAACCCTGCGGTACTCCAGAATTTGCCCCAAACTGACTTGATACAGTACCATTATGTCTGACGAAAAAATATCTATTTCTCAGATAATTTTTCATCAATTCCAATATATTCCTTGCCAGTCCATATTTACCTAACGTTTGTAGCAATATATCATGGTCCACTTTATCGAAGTCCGTAAAAACAGTGTCCAACTGTAAATTTTGTTCAAAAGTCTCATATACATTGTTACTGAACAAAAAAAGATTTGTGTTTATCGATTTTTTAGCCATGAAACCGTGTTGCTGCGGTGCTATATACTTTCTGATATACTGGTACAATTTGCTATGGACAATTTTTTCAAACAGCTTGGCTGGAGCGCACATAATTGAAATAGGTCTATAATTCTCAATGTCCATTTCATTTTTTGATTTATGTATAGGAATACATATTGAAGTTTTCCAGAGTACAGGAAAATTATTAGACTTTATAATAATATTGAAAATATGAAGAAGTGGCAACTTATTCAACCATTCACTGACACCCTTCAAAATATATGGAGGAATACCATCTGTTCCCGCACACTTTTTTGGTTTGAGTCTTTTTACTGCTTCATTATAGTCAGATTCGTCTAATAAATGAATCATGAATGTTTCATTGCAATAAGTTACTGAATCCTCAACTTGAATATTATATGAAGCCTGCTGCGAGCAGTATACTGAGGAGAAAAATAAATTGGCGAACGTTTCAGATACTTGTTCATCTTGCACTTCATTACCTTCGTAATAGTATTTATTTAGTATACTGTTTTCCTTCCTATTTTTAACGTATGTCCAAAAGCAACTTACATCATTCGTTATATTTTCTTCCATTTTCATCAAATTCGCTTTTAATTCCTCTTTTTTAATTAACTCTTTAGATTTCCTTCTTATTTCATTATATTTGTTAAAATAGTAGTCTGATAACGACTTGAGTTTATGATAACGTTCCTTTTCATGCAGTAATTTTTTTATGTCTTTTGTAAACCATACCGGGTACTTTTTATTTTTGCCTGTTCCTACCTTGCATTTAGGTACACACTGTTCCACAATATCATTCCACTTCAAGTAAAATCTTTCTAAAGCCATATTCACATCTTGCTCGTTGATCACCACAGACCAGTCGGTGTCCCTAATGTGTGTACTAAAGCTCAAAAAATCAGCATTCTTATAATTATAACGGACTTCATTCGTTTCTTGCGTAGATTTTTCTGATTTTTTCTTTGGAATTTCTATAGATATACTCAAAGTAGGGTGATACTGATCCTCTTTCACGAAGGGCAACAATTCTCTTTCGACCTTACAGTGGTTTGTGTTGTTTTCTGAACTTACAACTAAGTATAATATTCTGCCTTGAAAATTAGTTAAATCATTAAATGATTTAAAATCATTTAAGTTCAGAAAATCTTTTAGTAAATTTATTTTCTCATTATTTTTGGGTAATGTATAAATATTCGTAATATCCTGAATATTAAAGTCTCCGAAGACATACGTGTTCTCTATATTTGTTACTTGTTCTTGTATAAAATTGAAGGCTATCTCATATACTTCAACTGAGCTTGTTGGCGGTATATATAGTAGACAGAAGGTATATTTTTGTTTGCCAAACTTAAGATTGACAGATAGTGCTTCAAAGAATTTACAGTAACTGGTTACACTTACCAATTTATACTTTTTTTTATCGCTACCATCCCCCCTCCCCCCGTACTCTTATTTGTGAATTGGAGATTTCTATCAGACCTCAGTAGATTATATTTTTGGATATCGACAACTTCCGCATCATGTACCCCCTCATCAACCATGTTTCCACAGCTATAATAATATCAAAGTTTTCAGCTAAGGATCTCCTAAAAAATTCAAGACACTTGGTATTCAAACCCCTACAGTTCTGGTAATATACATTTAGGTTATTTGTTATGATTGTGTGATCAGGTTTGTAGCTCCTACACAAATAATAATAATAAAAAATAATAATTAATTCAAGGAATATTTGAATCCATTGAGCCAATTGTAAATATTAGATCAATTAACATACGACAGAATGATTGATATTATACAGAAAATTATTCAAATTATGAACAAAGTGTAAACAGGGCATCATTATCAACTTTGGCAAGCATATCCATAAAAACATTATTTCAATGTTCTTTCCCACCAAGGCTTCTTCTATTTTTTGCCGCTAAATCCCATTCTCCTAATTCGATTTGTTTGTTTAATCTATGTCGATAGTAAACATGTGTTTTTCGATTGATTTCACATCGGTGCCAACTCTCGCTAAAATTCTGCCATTAGAAGACCATACATTTTTATTTCCAAATTTATTCTTCGCAATACCATATAAGCTGTATTGTAACTTCGTTAGATCTTCGTTGATGTACATATTTGTTCCCTTAAGTAGTTTCTTCGCTGCATAAATCTGGTTTCTTTTCATATGCGATATAAAAGATATCATTATTGTTCGAGGTTTAGTTTGGTTCTTTATTTTTCCGGTACGGTAAATATTATTAAAGTCCTGCTGGGTGCATGGAACTTTCAGCACGTTATTGAGTAGGTTGCTTACTTTGGCTATCAAATTTTCATTGGGTTCTTCGTCCAATCCAATTATTCTCAATGTGTTAGATTTCAATTTTTGCTCCAACTTATCCATTCTATCATTCATTGATTTTATCTCTACTTTGTTTGATTCTGCCACTTCTTCTATGGAAGTCAATTTATCGACCAGACTGTTTATTTTCGCCTCCATTTGTTCGAAATGCTTGCTCAATTTCTCAAACTGGCTTTCTATCTTCGCTGTTAATTTTGGTGCTAACTTACTTATTATCATTTCCACAGTTTTATCATCCATTTGTTCCGTTATACTGCCCGTTCTGGTTCTTCCTGTCATTTTTCGTGGAAGGATGGCAACACTGTTCTACCATACAACTAGTACAAGCGGACGATATCGTTTCAAAAATGCACTTTAGCAGCAAATTTCACTTTCAGGATACAGTATAAACTAACTTGATGTTTTTATGACCAACTTGTCCCAAGTATTTGCTAAATATCTTCAAAATTATTCCTCAAAAACTCCAAGAATTGCAGGAGCTAACAAGCGTGGTGTTTACAGCGCCACTGACCTCGACATAATAATATTAAATGGTAAACTGTTGATAAATTATTTTTATTCATTGACTCATGGAATGAACTCGAAATAATCTGAAGTTGAATGTTAATGTAACTTGACCTATAAACGTCAAAAAAATTTCAATGTAATTTCATGCTATATATGTCCCCCAAGAAGGAGGAAATAATTTCCAAGAAATTTGTTTAGTTGCTTTGGTAACGATACGAAATACAGACTTTAAATCGATCGAAAATGTTTGGTGTGAAATTTTCTGTAGAATTACGAGGTACGTGGTTTGTTCTTTCCTCGGAATCAAAATGATATATTCTTCAGCAGGATCACGAAAAGTTTTGAACGACACACGGCTGATACACAAATAACGGATTCGGTTCCTCCGTTATTCGCTACATATCGGCCTAGTAACGTTAATAACTATTTCAATATTTTCAATGGGTGCAATACAATCACTGTCATATTCAATCAGGGAAAAGTAAAATTTGTTGAAACTCTACTTGATATTAAGCATTTTCAGCAAAATCTGTAGGTTTTTAATAATGATAATGCCGAACCCGATCCTGACATACGAAAACGGACAAAGCCTTCTTCTATCTTTATCCATCTCTATATGGTGCGGAATCTATGGATATCTCATTGAATATCAATAGCTTCATGCGTTCAGTTTCCAGAGCTGATGCTGAACATGCAACAACAGCTCGTCAACATTATTTTCGGAGATATCACCAGGTCCAAGAACTAGATGTATATAATGGGGATGGAGGCGGTATACTTCATCTCATTGACTCTCTTTCATTACAACCTTGAAGGCTCCTGTAAGGTTAGGTTAACACGGTGGTCCGGGGTAGAACCCACGTAGGCCAGGGGCCGTTGTGATGCCGTATGGGGTGGTATTACCACCCCCACCACTATCGTTAGAACCATCAGTAGCTGCTGTTAATGAACAGCATCAGGCTTTTGATTCCAACCGACTGAAGCTCGGATATGTTGTCAAAATAGGGCTGCCCGAGAGTAGAAGATCTTTTCCTGGATAGGGCAGGGCAATGACAGAGTAAGTGGACCATCGTCTCTTTCTCCTCCTCGTCCTGACAGCTTCTACAGAAGTCATTACGTTGTAGGATTCCCATACGTGCAGCATGACATACTACAAGCCAGTGTCCAGTGATGGCCGCAATCGAGTTTCCAATGGAGCTCCTGGAAAGAGATAAAATACCTCTAGTGCGTCTCAGGCTAGGCTGCGGCCATACCTGTCTAGACGAGGTGCAAGAAGGCTCCTCCCGCCACCTAAGATTGGTTAGGCGGAGTACTTCCTTCCGGAAGAGCAACCTCCGTTCAGCGATAGGTGCCCCTGGTCTAGTATTAGCGGATATAGCTGAGAGCGTCGTACCAGCTCTTGCTAGCTCGTACGCCTTACAATTGCATTTATAGCTACCATTTCGGCCTGGAAAACACTACAGTAGTTTGGTAAGCGAAATGATAGGTTGAGGGGTATAGGGACTCTGAGAAGACTCCACTTCCTACTCTCCCCTCTAGTTTTGAGCCATCTGTATAGAAGGGCATCCCATTTGGCTTAACTAAGTTCGCCGCCCATTTTTCTCTGGAATGTCCACCGAGAACTTGAGGTCGTCGAACATCGGGGTTGGTTTCATGTAGTCTGTGTTAATTAAGGTGAGATTGAATTCTTCCAGAATTTTGGAGTGACCGTAGTTTACCTCAGGCCATTGAGTCTGAGAGCAGTGCTAGCCACGCACTCTTTTCCATATAGGTCCAATGGGGTCAGATGTAGGATCATTTCCAGGTCTTAAGTCGGGGTTGTCCTAAGACACCCCGTCATGAGAACGGCAGCTAGTCGTTGTACCTTTCCTACCCTTTTCCGGTTGACCTCCTTGCATAGGGCTGGCCACCATACTAATGATCCATACATGAGTATAGGTCTTACGACCGCTGTGTATAACCAATGGAAAATGCTGGGTCTTAACCCTCATTGTTTGCCAATAGTTCTTCTGCAGATATACAGCGCAACTGTCGCCTTTTTCACCCTTTCCTCTATATTTTTTCTCCATAACAGTTTTCGGTCAAGGACAAGTCTTATAGGTACCTATCTCGTTCGGAGAGTTTTATTTCTTGGCCCTCCATACTGGGAAGGCGAAAGGAGGGTATTTTGTGTTTCCTCGTGAAGAGAACTAGCTCCGTTTTGCCCGGGTTTATACTTTGGCCGCATTTGTTGCACCAGTACACGAGTTCATTTAGTGCCTCCTGCCGACAGAGTCTCTGGAAATTTTCCTGAAACCATAATCGCAATATCATCGGCATAGGCCACAATTTTAAATCCTAGCCTTTCCATTCTTTGGAGAAAGCCATTGAGAGTAATGGTCCACAGTGGGGGTGAGAGCACTCCCCCCTGCGGAGTCCCCCTGTTGACCACTCTTCGTATCTGACAGCCAAGTAGCTGTAAGACAGCCGAACTATTGCTTTATTACGGTTTTTTGCAATACTAGGCAGGAGGGGTTACGTGCCGGTGACAACGAAGATGACGATATTTTATGTTCTTCTACTGATGTGATGCTGTGATAGAAAATAGACCAAGAACCAGGAATGAAACTTGGCACCTCATAAGTTACCACCATTCCAAATGCGTTATTCATTACGCATTGAAATGGGAACCGTGCATCTGCCGGCCAAGAGTAGTCGCCTAATAACGAATGAATTTCGAAAAAGTGCCAAAAACTGACCTAGAAGCGCATCATCATTACCAGGATGGAAATACCGCCAAACTGATTGGAAGTAGTGAATCTAGATCTTTAGCTTCTGTCGATGGATGCGATCGCATTTTCAAAGCAGACGACGTTCAAAACGAGGCCGTTCAGTTCCTCATGAAAGTTAACACCTGAATTTTTGTGCAAAAAATCAATTTATTATATATACTCCATTGAAATAAATGAACTAACCATATGGACAGACGGTCGATTTCATATAGGCGCAGAGATGATCAAGAAAATACATAATATATGAATAGGTAGGTCTTGCAGGAAGTTGGCCTCACGCGAAACAACTTTTAAATGATAGTTTATTTTGAAATTCGACTTATTGTGCGTTAAGTTTCACTTTGAAGGAGATGAATAATAGCCTACTCAGTCGGGGTCACGTGATCGACTCGCTACATAATGTCAAATGTTACATTTTTTCAAACTATTTCAAATTAGAAATATTTGTTTGAATATAGATATTTTTTCTGTGACGGAAAAAAAAAATTGGCATTTCATCTCTGTTGGCAGGTTATGAAATGTCACTTTTCATAAATTACTTTTTTTCCGTGAGAGAAAAGTAGGTACTTTTTTCCCGGATATATCACATATACATATACTGTTGATGGCTTTTGTTGTGCTATAGTTCCGTCAGAGAGAGAGAGAGAGAGAGGAAATCTGTATCAGGATCAAGGATATACCCCAAAAGGCCATTGGCCGAAGTCTTTCAGCACATAAAATATGATTGGACACATCAACATAATACTTATAGGTGTATATACAGTATGTAACATGTAACCTTCGATAATTATAATATGTTCATATGATATTGATGAGAACAACGTATATAATAGTTGATATAACGAATTATATCCTACATGATCATCGATATTGTGAAACATATATACAGAGTGACCCATTTGGAATGTTTTATTAATGGAGTGAACATTTTTTTTTTCGAAATGTGGAGTGGGAACATTCAGAGACTAGAAAATCCAGAATTTATATATTAGTGATTATCTTAAAAAACATCCGCGTACGCCATTGAAATCCTCCTCTGAAATAGATCTGCACCAAGTTTGATGGAAAAAAAATCCAACATCAGCGATTCTATTACTAGATTACTGACAAGTTGTTTATTGTATGCAAAGAAGTTTTTTATGTTTTTTAAACCATATGTAAACATATGAAATCAAATTTTGTTTCCTCTCTAATGTAAAATTGTTTGTTGTAAAGAAACAGGTTCGAACTATTCGATATAATTTATGCAATAAAGGCTAACTGACGAAAAAAAAAATTATTATACTCATCCAATTCTATACTTATATGAGTAGGCTATATATTATCATTATTTTTTCAAATTCCAACTGCCAGGCCCACTCCTTCATTTATTTATCATCAAGAAAAAAAGACAGCTAGTATATGCAGAAGTTGATGCCGCAATAAGGCCCTTATCAGAAGTGTGATGAATCCAGAAATAATTTTTTTCAAATGAAAGACCCTGTAGGTACCTATTCAATATTTTTTTCGAAATCTGTGATATTTTGTGATCACGAAAATACACTTATTATGAAGTATGGTATCTTTTACTTTTTCTTCATCTTTATTACAAGTTTTGTAACCTCAGAAAAACACTTTTTTATGTTGACTTCCACAGATATCGTGTTAGACATGAATGAGGATCTTATCTTTCATCATCAATATCAAATACATTCTCAAATTGATTGAGTGATCATTTATTCATCAGGCGATTTTTTTTCTGGGGTCATAAAGTGCTGATGAAAGATTGAATAAAAAAATACCGCGCGACATGTTCTTTGCATCTGACTGTACGTTTCTATTTCGTGGATGATAAAATATATTAGTTCAAGGTCATAAACTGATATTTCGATCAAATATTTACACCACACGAGTCGTTACTTATTTATTAAGCAGAGCTTCACCTATCTATATACACCCACAGGGTGTTTCCGAAATTGGGACGATGGATGGAATGAGGTGTTCTACGCTTCCACCATATATACTACATCTTTCAACTATTATTAAACGTCCGGCAACATTGCAAAAGTCATTGATACTCCCGGTGCTTGTGAGCTCGCCGAAAATAAACGCTTGGGTTGGGCTACTTACCTCTGATCAATGATTTACAAACATATCCGGCAGACTCTTAAGCTCAATATCATCACAAATCGTTATTTGTTTTACTAAGGCAGATAAGCACAAGATGTTCATAGCCAAAGGCGTATC